GATTGCTACAGTCAGTGGGATACGTCACCTGGGAACCTTCAGTGTCTGTGCTGAATTTCATGGCAATCCATCCAACAGGGGTGTGACCTACTAGGTGACATTGCCCTCCGTAGTCATGCCATTAGCATGACTAATGATATACATATGATATCATTAGCCATGACATGAAAAATTATGCACATTAAGTTCTACTAACCTCTGATTGTCATTTTATTCTATAGGGGGTTTATATCTCATCAGTAAATTGAAAAGGAAAAACCACAGTAAGTTTGTCAGATTTGAAAGTAACTGTTACTTGCAGCTCCAATCACAGACGGCCTTTCCTCTCCTCCACTCTCTTTGACCTACTTCCCGTTGATTTGAAGGGACACGTCAAGCTCAGTGCGTCACAGGTCTCAGCTTTTTAACAGCAATGTGTTCATCTGCAGCTGATGATCCTCCTTATCATGTAGTTATAGTCACATATGTTGTGGTTTAGAGGTTTTGAGCTGCTGTGACTGTTGTGAACCAAACTGTGCTGTATGTAAATCATTACGTTTGATGGTAAAGGCATGTTTTAAGGTAAGGGATACAGAAACACTAATGAACGTTAAGCAATAAGTTGCGAAGAAATGAATAGAAGTCAATGCAATGTCTTCTGTCACAGACATAACTGTCAATAATTATATACGATTTCAGCGCAGCATTCTTTATTGATCATATGATTCTTATTTGTATTGGTTGGATGGAAAGCACACAAAGGACGCTTGGTTATCAGATGACCAGATCATATGTGAGACTTTATTGTTAACGTGACTATCAGGTGCCTTGTAAGTTAGAGGTCAGAGGTTCATTCAGCTGCAGTGGGTGAGCTGTGCCATTCACCCTGAAGGCAGAGCAGGTGCCAGATGGATACAGCAGCTCACCATTAGTCTCCAGCTAGGCAGCTACAGTCAGAGACACAAGTCGACTGAGCCAGGCACCTCCAGCAGTAAAACATAGTTATTATAGTTAACTAGTCACAACCTATTGTTTTTTATCCTATAAGAAGTTTAATGCCTGTAGAGAGATTCCTGAGCTTTATGTTAAAAGCTACCTGTAATTTTCTGCTTTCAATTCTTATCTATTGTATGTTTTTATTTGTTTTCAGTGTTTGTCAATAGAAATACAACAATGGCTTTTTAAGGGGTCACTTTGACGCTCAGGGTGAATTTGATCTCCTCCAACCTAAATGAAGCATAATATCCCAGATTCATCTCACTGAATTTTCAATGTCAGCTGATAATAACATTTAGCTCAATGTACCGTCGTTCCAATTTACATGCTCACAGAGCCACTTGCTTGTAGACTCTTGTTTATTGTATTTGAAGTCCTTTGTGTATTTCATTAGCGTCAGCCACAGGTATTAATGCATTATGTATGAGCCTTAATGGTAACTTGTGGGGAGAAGAAGACGGGTGTTTGAGCCATGTGTGCATGTGTCTGTTTGTCTCTACAGGAAGCATCCAACCTTATTAAGAGGGGAACTGGAAAAAAACATAGGGGGGTGATGGACGGATAGAGGGGAGGGGTAAATGTCATTCAATAGGAAGCTGATGTTTTGCATCTTGTCCCATGCAGGTCTCATCAGTATGTGTGAGAGTGCAGCCCCGCTCTCATTCTTACTCTAAGCCTATAAACAGCAAGCTGCCTTTTTGCTTGCCAGCTATTACCACACACACACACACACACACACACACACACACACACAAACACAAACCCACACACACACACACACAAACCCTTGTTCAAGAAGCCTTTTAGAAAACCACCTCCTCTCCTCTCCTGTCAAAGGTGACCCTCAGTTTGTTCGTCCACCTCAAGTACTGACCACATATTGCACAACAACACACCCAGAGCTGTCCATGCACAACACAATTTTTTTATTGGATTTATTGATAATGACTTGCAATTTCTACCTGTGCAGTGTTTTTTATGGGTTTTGCATCTTCAGGACTGAATACGGGGAAGAATCTGGGAAGATGGAAGGAGGGACAGAAAAGGCAGATTAGTGAAGGAGTGGGGGAATATAATTAGCCTCAGCAGCAGAAGGGGATTTGTGCTCCACCGGCTGCCCTCTGCTCCTGCTCCCTACTACCCTCCTCCCCTCTCATCCTTCCTTGGAAACCTGGGCTGCTCTGAGTTGTTAATAGTTGCACTGTCGACGAGGTGTGCACCAGAGTGTGTGTGTTTGTGGAGAGAGGAGTGTATTCTCAACTCCAGTGTTAACAGTGTTTGCTTCAGAGGTTCTGCAGACAGTGACTCAGCTCTTTTTGGTTCAACTCGCTTTGCACTGTGCTGTTTCCTGAAGTCCCCATGAGGCTCTGCAGAGGACCCTGGACTTGTCTTATATTTAGCCAATGCAGACAACTCCTCACAGGATGCATGTGAGAGCATGTCTGCTTGATCCTGAGTGCTCTGGAACATTGCAACAAAATAAGGATCCTTCCCATGCCTGCATTGGGGAACTTCATTTTGGATTTTATTAGCGTGGGGTCTCTCTTGATGACAGTTTGTTTGAGTGTGTGAGACCAGCAGCCAGCTCTCATGTCTCTGCATGAGTTTCTGCGGGAGGGTGGTGAGGCGTCGTACCGGCTCATGAACCGGCTCAGTCATCTCATCCAGAACTTGGACATCTCTGGACTGGGCACTCCTTTCCCTTTTAGCCCTGCCAGCAGGAAGAACTCCTGGAGCTACTGGGATGGTAAGAGGAGATGGCATCGTGTGAGAGAGTGAATGTTTGCACTTTTTGCAACTTTTTTCAAGCTTTGGAAAGTTCTATATGCGATAACATGTGCATTAGCTTACATCTGTGTGTGTGTGTGTGTGTGTTATTTTCCTGACTGAGCACTGGCCAGAGTTCTGCAGGGCATGATGCCCAGACCTTCACACTGTTTCCTGTGGGCTTCCCTTGCTCCCCACTGGGCTGTTTCTGTGTCTTTCTTTGTGTGTATAACAGTTTGTGACTGTGTGTGCGAGTGCGTGGCTGCGCAGCTTAAACAACCTCCCCAGTTTCCAACATACACATCCCAGCGGCTGCCTTCACATTTTTTTGCTGTAGCCGTCTCCTGATGACTCTTGTTCTATTGTAGGACAAGCTGACTGTGTCTGCATGTGAATTTGTGCATATGTAAGCTACAACATAATGCGCAGTGAGATCATTAGATGTCCATAGCACTGTTTTTGGTTTCTGTGACGCAGCTTCATTCTTCACTGAGGTCATCCTCTGTTATTTATGTTTATTCTGTCCTTGTGTATTTGATCCAAGCTTTTTCTATACCTGGCTCTAATGGATTGAGTGTACACACTGCAAGGTTATCTCACTGAAACTGTGTTTCTGCCTATATACGTGTGTGTTCTGGCTTTCATGCACATATAGGAATGCTGTCCTGATGGTTGTACCTTCAGCCGTGTAGTTTCAGGGAGAGTTTTCTTTTCCTTTCCTCTGCAGCTCTGTTAAGGTCATTAGTGGTACAGAGAGTTCAAATGAGCGGAATCTTGTTGTTCACTCTTTAGTTGTTTGGTTTTAGACACAGATCTGGGATAATAGGGACCCATCTTATGTGTTAAATCTTTTCAGGATAGTATAATATGTTTGTTTAATTTGTAGGTTACACACAGAAAACTTCCTCCTACTGATTCTTAACAATCTAAAGAACATCAACTTGTCTTTTTTTTTAATCAAATGATTCTGAATCAAGTGGGCTCTTAATGCTAATACTTAAATCTGTAAAAATTACAGAGCATGTGTCATATTAGTACATTTATTTTTGCAAAGCTACTACTCCAACTTCTGACCTCTGAAGTCGGTGGAGTCAAACCTCTTTCTCTTCCATCCTCTTACAGATTGTGCTTTTATTTACTGAACTGAGAGTCTAAACACAGAGAGTGTGTCCCTCAGTTCTCATAGAGACAAACTTTGGGGCTATATAAAGTGGCTCGATTTTAGGACTTATTAATAATTAATTTCAAATAAACACATTTGGTAGCTTGGAAACCACTGAGAGCTCATGTTGCTGTTGTCAGTGGAGCTGTCAGTGATAGAACTATAAAGTTTGTCTAACAGAGTAGAGCTGTGAGTTAATGTGTCAGTTTGTCCCTTTGTTGGTTCACTTTAAGTTGTGCAGTTCTCTTTCAAGGTTTATGGCACTGATAACCTCAAGCATGACTTTGGTCGTAGAGTAAACACTGATACACACACACACACACACACACACACACACACACACACACTCAACACAAACATGCCTTGCTCAGACTTTTTTGCACCACTGAACTTCTTTATGATTTGGGCACAGAGCAGTATCTCTTGGCTCCTTTGGACTGAAATCTATCTTTTGCACATCTCATTGAATTGGAATCTAAATTGCCACATTCTGTTAAGAAACAGTGTCTGTCTTTGAGAGTTCTCATTAGAATTAGGTCTTTCAGTAAGTTTGTAAGAATGGGGTCTTTTGAGTGGTCTAAACAAGAATAGAGGCTTTGAATGGATGCAGTCTGTGAATGGTTACATGGGGATGCAGGCAGTGTTTGAATGGGTTGGTCAGAATGGAGGCTTTGTACTTTTGGTCCACATATCCTGAGATAAGGCAGATGAGGCGGCCTGGGTTTTGTTAGTGTAGGTAAATGAGCCCATGGAGCTGCTGCACCTTCCTAACCACTGTGACACGACATACAGTAGCATGACCTAACTAAAAACTTCACATTTGGACTTTCTGGGTCCTTTATATCATGGAGTCAGGCTCAGTCACACATTAGCAGGTTAGAGGCATTGCTATTGAGCCAGGAGGGGTCAGGTAATTGTCCTTTCAGGGAGGGGTAAGGGCAGTCAGTCAGGCAAGCAGGGAGGGTGGGGTTGAGTTTTACACTGTAGCTTTTGTCTACAGGCAAAGTAACCTGAGGTTGCAATGGTAAGTCCTCACAGTCACTGAGTGACATCCTGCAGGCTGTATAGCACCTGTCAGAGAGCGACGGGCTGAATGTGCAATGTAAGGGAGAGTCTGAGTCAGAATGAAAGTGAAATAGATCTTCTGATAGCTTTTTGCGAAACTGCATGGAACCAGTGTTGTGGATGAGGAGTGAACTAAAGGTAGCCTGCAGGATGGGAGGAGAGCAAGTGGCAGATTCAGGCATCTTGATGGAGAAGGATGTGGAGGTCGAGTTAGACTCCGGGTTTTACATGGAAGCAGATCCAGAGCTGAGTGAAGCGGGATGGGTGAGTGCAGGTTCTGATGAATGTTCAGACACGGAGGAGCTGGACTGGTTTTTGGTGACAGGACACATAGAGGATGAGGAGCGAAGAGAGGGACGCACAGGAGAAGATGTCGGGAGTCAAACTCAAGAGGAAGGAGAGATGGAAGCTGACTCTGAGTCAAATAAAGTTAAAAGTGGAAGGACTGGTGATCAGACCGAAGAGGTGAAAGATACACAGGGAGTGTTAGGTGTGTGTTCGTGGTCAGCAGAGGAGAGTGGGGGTCATGTGCGGATTTCTCTGGAGGAGGTGGAAAGATACTACAGATTTTCACGTTACTGCAGATGGCTGCATGGTAGGTGTCAAAAATCAAATTATTTCTTTATCTTATTTTGTTTTTCTCTGTCTCACATGATAATTATTCCTTTGTTTTTCTATCACCAGACTGTGTTTTTTTGCAGTTTTTCCCTATTAACAGTTTGGGGCTGTCATCAGCACATGTTCCACTTCTCTTCTGTCATCTCCACCTCTGTGGATAAAAGCTGCATTTGCCAATTGTTCCTTTTATGTGGTTGAAATCTGGCAATATCTGTCTTTTTGCCTGTTGAATTCTACCACAGCTAAAACAGGAAACTCACAAAGGAAGCGGATGCTAATAAAAATCAACAGTGATGTCTTTCTATATTGTATTCAGACGGAACCGTGGGTAAATAATGCTGATGAAATAAGTTCTGTTGAAATTAGATGTAACAGAAGATTAGAACCATTTGTCTGTTTTTAAACATGCACTTATTTTCATGAATGGTTGATTTTTTTTTTTCTTCTGTGTAGCCTCCCACCTTTCTTGATTTGTTTGTTAGGTCACCACCATTGTTTTTGTATTTCAACCTTCATCTGAATCCTCTTACCCCTCGCCTTCCTTCATGATATTATACAAACTCATTGTTACCACTCAATGCTATTTAATGCTTTATCTCTGTCACACCTCCTCCACCATGGCCATGACTGTAAGCCCCTTATTTCTACTTGTTGCCCTCCCCCACTTTGTTTTGGCTTCCTCAGTTCCTTTCCCAACTATGATCTGTCTGAGAGTGAATCACAGATTTTCAATTTCTTATCTAAAGACAGTGAAGACACAAGCAATCTAACTAGAGAAGTTTCTTTCTTAAACATTAATTAACATTTTAATAACCTGCTCCCTTCAGTTAAGATGTTTTTCTTTACGTGTGTGTTTTGGTCTTTTCAGGCCCAGGCTTCTGCTCTAGTTTTAATCTGTGTATTAGTGGCAGGCGGTCCAGGTGTGTGACTGTGACCCACTAATGTTTGACTTGTCACCCACAAACATAAACGTGAGTGGACACTAATCCCCATCTTTAAGCCTTTTAAAGAACATTAGCGCCTCATCCAGCTGGTGGTGTGTATGGTGGTGTGTGTTTGAACGTTGGAATTAGTTTATGTTCAGGGTGTGTATTTTATAATTAGCAGAATTACAGACTATGCATTGCAATTGTCTTGCAACGTTTTCATCAGTTTCCCTGGGAATAATTCATGGATCTGGCACATTTAGTAAACTATCTTTAAGTGTGTGCAGATTAAATTTAAAGGACTTTTGGGCCTTGGTGGATATGTGCACTCTACTGAGCGACTTTCTAGTTTATTGTAACACAATACAGGCACATGTGAGTTGCGGTATGTTAAGCTGTTATTCTCAATGAGCTTCATGATTCTTATTTACCTTGAGAGGATGGAACCAGTCTAAGTTTCAGTTAAACCACCTCAGAGACATGATTTCTTTCACATTCCTCCCTGAACTCTCATTAGATAATCGTGACGTCACTGATACTCACATTGATCAGTAAACGTTGAAGGAAAAGAGACGGGAAAGACACTTGAGTGGTTTCACTGTCTTGTGCTTTTGTTGGAGAAACAGTAGCATCTGATACTGTCTCTTCCTCTCCCTCTTCCAGATGGCCTGGGGGACATTTAAGTTGTATAATACTGTGTGAATGATGACTGGTTGTTTGGAAGGAGTACAAGAAGAAAACTACAGTGACTGAGATGCGACTGAAACTCAAATCTGACATCTTTCAGGAGGGGGATTTTTCAGTAACACAATAGCCTCTTCCATCTCTCTGGCCCGGGTGGGGGTTGGGGTGTGTGTTTGATTTGATACGTGTGGGACTGGCTGGGGGCAAGGCGTGGCCGGCTGAGTGAGGCAGGGTCACAAAGTGGAAACTGATGGAGGTTTCTGTGTGAACTTGAATCCCCCGGGAGCGCGGCAGCTCCTGCTAGCGCTCTGCAGGTGACCAGACGGTTTCAGCTTTGTGTCCAAACACCTCAGGCAGCGAGTGGCTCCACTGCTTTACTAAGTTACAAACATCACAGATGTGGTCATAAATCCAGTCTCATTCCCACTCGCCTGGCTTCTGTTGAGAAACCCCACCGGTGCTCACACCCTTGCTTCAGGTTAATCTCAATGAAAAGAAGAGAAGGAAGCTGTGTCTCATGTGACGAAAGTAGATATCAGTAGGTTATTTGCTTCTAATCAATATCCTTATCAATCTCTGTTATCTACAAACCATCCAATCAATTGACGAGATGGTGGATACAGAAGGTCAGGTAATAATAGAAGAGACGGGTTTGACAGATCATTTTTCTGAAGACAAACACTGGCACAGTCCATGAGAATGTGTCCACGATCGATAATGTTTGTCCAGCAACAAGGAGGCTTTTAATTCATAATACATGAGCTTGTGCTGTATCATAAACAGAAGCAATGTGAGTGGAGGAGGAGACGAATAGATTTACAGTAAGTGAGGTTGATTGTAAAGCACCTTCAGTCACAGCAGGTTAACAAGGTGTTAATTCCAGGTTTGCAACTGCTCATGTAATTATCTGCTCTTGTATAATACATGCAAATCACTGAATGTTATCATATTCCTTGACATTGTAGATTTAAATATCAACCTCATGGGTCTCCGGCTGTTGTAAAATGTAAACCCAACTGGTGAAAGTTTAAGAATATGTGTAGCTCCTGTCTGTTTATTGCAGACCACCTTTCCCTCCTGTTTTCTACACAACATTGAAGCTTAAACTCTGTGTTCTTGCTACAACACATCAGCTAAATAGCAAGATATTCAGTGCAAGAACCAACCAGATTCAGACAACCCTTTTCAGATGTCCATACTGGGTAGGTGGGAGTGTGGGTGGATAGTTTGACGACACAGGCCACAAATACTTGTTGGCTGACTTTTCTCAAATGGTGGAGCATCTTAGAAAATGGCAGCAAGATTATTCACTGTTTTCCTGCTTGCAACTGCAGTCTTACATTTAATTATTTCTTTGGGACAGATGTACTTACATTTTTTGATGCCCTATCACTTGATCCTGATACGTAATTATCATGGTACTTTAAATAAAGAAGTTGAAGTGCTCATGGTACAACAACGATTCATAATGTAAGACATTTGCACTGTACAACAGCCGAAAACCTGCAGAAACACCGGTATGGTCCTTTAAATGTCCTGATTAGGTAAAACCTTTTGATTAATGTTGTTTTGACACAACCGACATGGCACCAGCTGGTCTGTGGAAAAAGGTTTAGAGGAGGGCAAACCAAGACGGCCAACTTGAATCAGTCCTGTCCTCGTGTGTCTGTCTGTGTGTGTGTGGGGAGGACCCAAAGAGTGTTATACTTGTAGATTCGACAGCTTTGTGACCGCATATGGATAAAAATGCAGCTGGCTGTTGGAGAGTTAAGACTTAGTTTTAGTCTAGAGGTCAGAGGATGCATTTCGTCAAAGACAGATCCCCACAAAAACGGATATTCAAGTGTGTGTGTGTGTGTGTGTGTTTTCTTACCTCTTTGGGACTTTTTCCAGCATAAACACTGACCTTCTCAGGACATTTCTGACTTCCTGGTTAAGGTTACGGTCATGCATGAATTGCTCTTGGTTAGGGATAAGGGTTTTGTCAAACTGAATGGAGTTCAATGCAAAACCCTCATAAAGATAGCTGCCTCAGAGTGTGCTCTGTGGGCATGAAAATACTGCTGGACCCCACAGTTTGAACTGGTCGTTAGAGAGTTAAGGCTTTGTGGTCTGGTAAAGCACTATGTCATAGACAGAACCCCACAAAGACAAGATATACAGTACAAGGACGTTTGTGTTAGAGAGAGAGGCAGCTAATAAATGTCAGAGTAGTAATACCTTAAGGCTGAAGTCACCTGATACTGCTTCTCAAACAAAGAGCAACAGCAAGTCTTTTTGGTTTGTTTAAACGGCACTCAGAGGGAGTGCTCAGTGTGAATGAAGAGACGGAAACAGGCACACTAACATAAAGGAAAAAGAGTGCATAACACAGAGGAATATAATGTGAGATTCTGTGATGGACACCTCCAGTGAAGATTAGGTAGACGTGTCTTTGGCTGAGCCCGGTGTCACCGCTTTGCCGTGTTTCCAAGAACAGGTACAGTGACATACAGGGAAAAGCTCTCGGGATTAAAATGTGTATTCATCTATTTCTTATTAGTATTCAGTTGTTTTGATATGATTGTAATTGTAAATGTCTTTAAAGTAAGGATTGTATGACTTTTCCCATTTTTCATGCTCCACCTTTGATCATATGAAAATATGAGTGGAAAATTAGTGTTTTTCCTAAACTTGTGTAAAGCATAATATAATTGTTGGATTGATAATTATCATGAGATTTACAAAAAAATTAAGTGATACTTATGATTCAGAAGGATGATATGGACTAAAGTGGAAAACCTTTCCAGTGTTTCAGTGGCACAGTGACTCATTGTAGACTATGTGAGGAAACTAGAGCAAACAGTCAGACTATGAAGAAAAGTCAATATTGCTCTTACTGTTGCTTTCATACATTTACAGAAGGAAATGTCTGTGACTGTGAGAAACTCCCTCCTGTAATATGACTGCTCCAGACCTCAGAGGCTCCTCCTTACCATGATTTTCATATGTGGCTGCAGCTTTATTTTTTATCTGAAGTACAGTATCATAAGAGAGTTTGTGCACAATAGACACGTTATCACACCTGCAGCTCTCCAGCCCTGGGGATGTTGTTCAGCAAGAAAAGCTTTTATACAGAAATAGAAAAGTAATGGAGAACTGAAGAGGGCAGAGCTTCGTGTTTTTATGACCGAACTGTCTCTGCTCTGACTTACAATGTGGTCTCTTCGCTTCCATGATGCATACAGAGCCTTTTTGGGAACTACATATAAAATATGCAGGTATCTTTAAAAATGGTCCTTAACTGAGGGGTTTATTTTCTTTACTGGGATTGGTTAGGTGCCTTCGTGAAATGACAATAACACATCAGTGTTTCCTTGTCAAAATGCTCCCTGAAACATATGTTTCCTTTTTCAAAGTAGCTTCTCACAGCAGCGTTTGACTGCAGTGTGCCCACTGATGTTTCCCTGAGGCTTTTCATTACGACATCGACATTTAACAGACGGTTTAGTTCAAGGAGACTTGACACAACAGAACTTTAAACACATGCTTGCTTCGTTTGATGATACGAGACACGAGTCCAGTGAAATGAATGTGAATGATGAGTTTTATTCACTGCTGGAGGATAAAAAATTTATCTTCCCAATGTTTTCATACTGATGCACAATGAAATGAATCATATGTTGTATTCACCTTGTTAAATATAAAACAGAGTAAAGAGTAAAGCAGTACTATCTCATTCCAATAATAAAGTACTGTACGTCGTCACATTTCCAGCATTGATTTTTATGCTCCAAATTGAACTGTGGCCAGTTTTCATTCAGAAGCTTCTTGATACATACACTGAATGTTGCATGGAGATTATTTAAGTTTAATGTATAGTATTCCTGAACACAAGCAGCAGTCAGACAGATTTTAATCTGTATAACCTAAACTCTCTATTTGTAGCATCTCCCTATTTCTGCTTTGTCTAATGAATTATACCACAGTGGGGAAAATATTGTATTCACCTGCTTCCTCAATATATCACTGTAAGAATTCCTTCAGCTCAGCTTGACAACAAGCTACTGGCTAGACTGCTAAAGCCTCCCCTCCTGCCCCCCTCGCCCATTGGGTGTCTGTTGTCCAACTACCAGTTTGAGTCCTGGTATAACCATGATCTCCATTTCCTAATGAGAGAATAAGTCTTAAATCTGATTATTTTAATCCTTACGAAGGGAGTCAATGGGGGGGCAGAGAGCCGTAGAGGGCCAAGTTAGTGAGGGGTCCAACAGAGAGTGTAATGAAACAAGTGAGTGGGGTAAATTACCATCATGAGTTCTCCAGTGGTCCTGTGATCACCAATAACCTCAATGTACTGGTAGTACTAATATAACTATAGTTATATCACATCTTCAAAAGTGTTTTTAAGTTTTATATCTGCTTGTATACACGACATGCAGCAACGTGATAATGTAACAGATCTGAGAAGCTTCATCTTCAGCTCTGATGTGTCTCATACATTTTGTTTCTTCTGTATTTCAGATGAAATCATGGAGCTGGACAGCAGCCCTCTCCACGCTGCTGACATCACCCCTGACCTCAAGAAGCAGTTCGCCTTCCTCTCAGGTGTCTTGTCTTTGTCTGTGTGTTTCAGTGGATAAGGACTTGTGTTCCTATTCACCATTTTTGCCTCAACTCTTCTGTCTGTCAGTTTATTTCTTCAGTAACTCTCTTGTGTCTCGTCCATGTGGGGAGTAATTTCTATATTAACTCTTCCATTTAATATTTGCATAGTTCCTGACCGTTATGATTTGCAATTCAAATTTCATCTCCCTCATTTTCCTCTTCCAGATACAGCAGCTGCTTCTTTTATTGTTACTGTCGCCTGATCTGCATTTCACTTACTGTCTCTAAATGGCCAGGTCATGATAAACGTCATGGTTCGGTCCCCACAAGTGTCTGTTCACAATATTTGAGCTTTCTGTTGCACAACTTTATAAAAGCTGTCGTGTGCGTGAGTCAGCGTGTCAGTCAGAGGTGACCTTGTGACTGCTGCAGAGCCGGGAACCATTTTCTCGCAAAGATCAAAGCAGATGTGAAACCATGACCATGCACTTGCTGTTGCCATAGTGACGAGAGAAGAAAAGGCGGACAGATTGATATTCCAGTCACATGCGCTGACAGAGCAGCTGTTCCACAAAGTGTGTGTGTGTTTGTGTCTGTCTGTGTATGAAGTGCTGTTGACCCTCAGACATGTTCTGAGTTGGCTTCTTAATATAAGTGACAGGGTCCAAGAGGAAAACACAAGCTTCTCTGCAACAGTTTTATATTTTGTTATTCTCTGAGTGGACAGAAAGTTGATTTCACATGTCTCTGAGCACCACTCATCATCAAAATCTAATTGTACTTATGGGTTTTTCCAAGCAACAAATCAAATCTGAGTAGAGTTGAGAGGAAGCAGATGCTCCATATTTTATTGTTAAACTCCTCATAAAACAATTGAAAAGAGTGATTTCCTAATTACGTCTTTGGCTGTTGCTGATTTAGTCATGAATTGAAGACGGAGACTTAAGATTTGAAACAAGGGGCTTTCATTTGAAGATGAGGAAACAAAGAGACGTAAGATAAGATGAGGAAATAATATAATTTTTTAGTACAGATCGGTTCATTTATTTAAATATCGTGCAAATTATAGTGAAAAAACAAAACAACAGGAAACAATTGAAAAAAAAGAGGAACAAATCACACTGTTATCGAGACTCTGTCAGTTTCTTATTTCAAATTAATGTTTATCATTGCAGCAACTACATTAAATGATTGCTTGTTTAGACGTAAACATATGAGACAGAATAGTTTGTTTTCATAGATTTAGATTTTCTCTGTCTCAACTCAACAGTCACACGGCACAGTCAGTGCCCCCATGTGGTGACAAATGGTTTTCTTTCCTCATATATAATGTCCTGTATATAATGTTAACATAGTATATACCTGTATTCATATATATATATTCATGTAGAAAATTGTTTCTATTTCTATTTTTCTATCTTCTAGGAGGTAGAGGAGATAATGGCAGCCCAATCATTGTGTTCCCAGAATTCCCTGCATTTGGAGAGATCACGGACAGAGAGTTTCACAACGTGCTGACCTATCTGACAAGTGTACCCAGGTAAAGTCCCTCACCGACTGATTGGCACTCTCACACAAATCTGTTAACCGCACCTTCCTTTCCTACATTTTTCATCCCCTTTTCCCTTCATTCTATTTCCTGTCCTCCTTTGTTTTTGAACAACATCCACTTGTGTCACCATCAGCTCGTCTCCTCTCTCTCGTCTTTGCAGTCCTGTGATAAAGTTCGAGTGTGTTCACAAGTTTTAACTGGTTTTTCTGTGTGTAGTATGCTTGTTCTTTGGTTTTCCTTCAGTCCAGAGAAGCAAATGAGAATTGGTGAAAGTGTGTGAAGTATCAGAGGCAGTAGAGATTTGTGAAGATGTTTTTGTGTTGGACAGCTGCCAGTAGGGGGCAGTGGACACAGCTTCACTTCATGAAGATCATGATGCGGAGGATTTTCTCAGATGATGGCACAGATATCTGCAAAAAGAGAAGAGGGTTGTGATTCCTGCATTAATGATATGGCCAAGTCATAATCCAGGGTCTTTATCTGTCGGCTGCAGATTGTCTTTGTACACATGGGCAGACCACATGAGACGGGGGAGGGGGAGAAAGTATAAGAGAATATCCCCTGGAAAACAGCTTCCTCTCATTTCTTCCCTGTTTAATTTCATGTTTTCTTTGATAGTTGTTTTTTTTTCTGCTTCTTGGTTTTAGCCCTTCTTTATGTGTCACGTCCTTCCTTCATCCTGCATGTGATGGCAAAGTGTGTAAAAATAGAAACTGCAGCAATTCAGACTTTTTGAATGTGAATAATTCAAATAGACAGCTGAGCAGAGCCTAGTTTGGAGAAAAAGACACATTTCAGTGTTAAAAGTTATTTTTGTGTCCGTATAGCTGATCTCATGTTGCTTATTCTTTCTGTCAAAATAATGAATTATTCCATCCTATTTCATGACCGAGCCATACTTTTATTTCAATCAGGATTTAGCTTTTCTTGTGACCAGAATATCAACTTCTGAGGAATGAGATTTTATTTTTATTTCCCAAATCCTGGCTGAAAATAGCGGGCAGCAGATATTATTTCCACGTGTCCAAATTCACCGTGGTCTGTTAGAGGTCACCAGTGATCTGAAGGAGGGTCGTCCACAGAAGCTGTTGTGGATACAGAAACAGATGGCTGGAGCTACCTGAGGGACCCACACCCCTGACAGGGCACAGTCCACAACCGGCGGCAAATGTATTACGACCTTGAACAGCTGCTAGTAGTTTCAAATGAATATCTCTGGATCAATATCAATTACAGATGTGATCCCTAATGTTGATTCTTTCAATCCCTATATTCTTGTTGTCATATGTACTTTACTTTACAGTTTAATAATAGCTGTGTCCTTCACAGACCATGTTCCCATCTCTTTCCCTTATTTCTTTTTGTATCTCTCCTTTGTATATGTGCATTCTTGCATGGGTCTAGTTTGGTTGGATCTTGTCAGTACTGTACAAAGCAAAGGACACTTTAGAGAGGAGACAGCATCACTCTATATTTTGTATTATACGATTATAGAAGGAAGTATAATATCAAAAATGTCTCTATATAGAGAGAAACTGTGGAAATCTTTAAAAATAAAACAATGCTCAAATATTATTCAATTTAAGAAAATGTTGATTCATGTATTTTTGATTTGTTACTTGAAAAGAAATTCTTAATTGGAATGTGTTTATGTAGTTTTTATTTTTGGATTACGCTGAAATAACAGAAATACACTACAAAAAAATTAGAATTAATACTACGATATTTTGCTGGATTTTTAATACAGTTTTCTCTTAAAATGATCTAATCTTTTTTTTAATTTAACAAACCACTGCCCTTATATCCAAACAGTCACTTTTTCTGCTCTTTAGTGCTTCAGGGGGAGGGGGGGTGGTTGTAGCAGTGTGTATGTATTGCTATGTGATATGCGTTCATGCTGCAAATTCCCCTCATCTGCATCACCATTACAGACAGTGCTTTTTCACAGCTCAACTCACAGCTTACATGGCCTCCACACGCTTTGACCCCGAGCATTACAGTAATTATTATTAGTATGCTCTTGCATGTGCAACCACAAGATCACCAGGCAATTTTATGAATATTTAAATGAAGCCGTTTATGCGTGAAACTGCCTGTTTGCAAGATGATAATGGAAGTTATGCATAAGATTTTACGATTTACTGTGTCCAAGTTTGAATTTATCATTTCAAATCAGAATTAGTTCCTTTTAGCTGTTGTTTAACTGTAAGCACTGAATCAAATGTTGATCTGAGATGCTGTTTTTCGTATAACACTGCATCAGTGGCAATGTTTTGAAAACACCAGATAAAATGTGGTTTAGATGAATCTCTGGTTTATATCCATTGTCCCAACACAACTAAGAAGCAGAACAGATAAATACAATATGAATACATGTTATATATCATGGTTTTTTATAAAATAATTAGGGCATTTGGCTGACATACATCTGGGGGATTGTGGTGTAATAGCAGCATTAGATGCTCATTTCCCCATGTTCCTCTAATGTTCTTTTATTTAACATGTGTAGTTATATGTTCACCATAAACCACCCTCTCATCTAAGAAGCCGTAAATGTCTCGAAGGCAGAAAAGCTCTTGTCCTGCTCCCCCTCCTCCTTCTCCTCCTCCTCCTCTGTGGCTGAGATGTAAAGTAGTTTGTGCTTTGAAAGCCTGAGTGTCTCTGAGAGTCTGTGTACATGATTATACGCAGAGCAGAGAAGTGGGGATGACGGAGGAAGAGAATAGGAACAGATGAAAGGGGAGGGAAAGTGCAGGAGAGAAAAAAAAGACGAGAAGAGTGAGGATAGAGTAGAGAGGCAGACCTGGATCAAGACTCTGTGTTTTTCTAATATCTCAGAGCATCGTATGTGAGCCTGCCCCACTTCTATAAAGATCCAGTGATTGGCTACAAGAGCTGCTCATCACTTTGGAGCAGCCTTGTTATTGGCTTGTGTCCCAGCAGCTCTCTGTCTCATTGGAGAGATCACAGATGCTTCACCGGAGGATTCAGAGGCTGGATCTTGTGATTGTCTGAGGCATTTGTCTGTGTCCCTTCAGACAACACAACGCACTGGGATCTACTCATAACCTGTGGGGGGGGTTTTGGAATCCCATGGACTACTCTCTCAATCTGCTGCCACCCTGTTTTGTGCAGTTAATAGCTGCAGAATTAGAAGATATGAAAGCAAATACTTTGGGATAATTCTGCAAGAAAGATTGTGACAGTGCTGTTGGTGCATCATGTTTTCAGGTAAGCAAGAGGGATTCTGCCGGTGAGCCGGTGTGTAGCACTCCTGTCTCGTGGGACCAGAGAGACTGCAGGGGAAGGGGGGAGCAGGGAGAGAACAGGGGGCTGATGGCCAAGAAATCTGGAGGTGCAGCTTCACCGGCAGCTGGTGCAGTCCATAAAAGGACACGCTGCTAAGAAGATAAAAAGAAGCAAAACAAAATGAAAAGCTGTGAACAGGCTCTTGGATTCATCACTGTATGTTTTTATTTTGTTTTGTTTTATCTCTACTTTTCTGTCTTTAAAAGTGGCGATTAGGAGAAATGACACCTTTCTCTGTGGCCCTCCAAACTATGCTGCATGTTTGTTTTTTTGCCATTTATTTTTATTTTAGTTAGTTTAGAAGTTTCATCTGTAAATAATTTTTAAATCAATAAAATAACGGGGCCCTTCTTCGTTGACTGTAAGGATGTCCATCCAACCCAGTGATACAGAGAACAAGGATGAGTTAAGATTTGTGATTAAACCTAATGCACAGTTATAAATGATCTCATCTTACCTCTGGCTGTGATGACTCACCCCTGAACTATCTTTGTGGGTGAAACAGACCAGTGTGTAAGTTGTGTTAAATATGTTGCCTCTCTGTGTTCCAGTTTGTCATCGACAAGCGTGGGTTTCATCCTGGTCATTGATCGCCGGCAAGACCGATGGGCGGCTGTTAAGGGGACCCTGCTTCGCATTGCAGTAAGTTTGTGTCTGTGTGGGAGAGAAACAGATGTTTAATGAACTGTTGAGATGAGAGAACCAGGGTTTGAGGAGGCTCAGGGCCTCATGGGGGGGGGGGGGCATCCTCAATTCTCCTTCATGGCTCCACCACTAATGTCACCAGCAGCCTCGAGGGGCTGAGCCAACACCAGCCTTAAACTCCCCCCTCCATCACAGCATGTTTGTCTACAGCGACACAGAAAAACAGTCACATGCCAGAAAAACACAGAGTCAGTCATTCATTGAGATGTCACTCATCTTTTCTTCAAGCTGATTTACTAATGAAAAGAAAACACTTAAAAAAAAAGAGACCTAAACTAATTTATTTTAGATAATGAGTCAGCTAAATGATTGTGGATAACTCATCATGGTACATTTCAGTTGATTTAGCCTCAAGCTTCCTAATCTGCCCCTTTGTCCGGATCCATGCCAAAAATTTAATGGGTTCTTTTTGAGTAAATTTTGCATAATCCTGCTGACAAACAAACAGATGGGGCAGAAAACATAACCTCCTTGGTGGAGGTAACAGTAATAAATGTGAAATAATAATAAAAGTAAAAAATATTAATGATTCATGATTCATGTCGGTGGAATGTAGTTGTAATCAGTTAGTGTTCCAGTCTTTTCTTCTTGGGAATGAGCCTGAGTATCTATATTTCCATCAGTGTTTCATCCTTTCTGTCCAAATGTTTATAAATCACCAACAACCCTCTGTAAAATGTGTGTGGGTAGAATCATCATCATTATCATCATAATATTTTGGGTTTCAAATGATGGACAGTTAAGTAGCGGTTGTATATTCCAGCCACCTTAGTGCAGAGATTCCCATTTTTCAGAAATCTTGTAGAGAATAAAAAATGTTGCTATGTTTTTGGTTTGGACAGTTCTCACAGAGGGCTATATGGAAAAATTAAATATCTGAGAGGGAGTGAAAGAGAGATGAATATCACCACCCATGGTCTCCAGAGACAGGGGGACCCACTCACTCATTCCAAATTAAATCAAGCTTTATTAATCCCACATGGGGACTGTTACAGGCTGACAGGCTGGTAATGGGGGGTTTCAGTCATCCCACAATACTGTCTGTTGTTAAATACATCATGATGAACACTGGAATTTTCAAGCTGCTACTGTGGAGAATAGTTCATGGGCTTTAAATCATATTTAAAACACACTGTGATGCATTTACTCAGTATGAAGTCAGTGTAAACAGGTTTGAGTGGATGACAGAGAGAGAATGAATGTTTCTGCTGTTGGATGATTCTTTGTCTTGACTTTGTGTGTTGTTATATTAGTGCACGTGTTTACACATGGTCTTGTGTGAATGTGGGTCAGTGTGTTTTGAGAAATTGTTTACAGCTGATTTCGCTGAATCTGATCTGATGACTGACACACAGTGCGTTTATAGACTGGTCCTAATTAAGTCTACAGTGTCGGTCCCTGAGGAATACCTCCTCCCGTCAGTTATGTGGTTCTTCTTTGAGGCTTTGTACGTGTGCGTGTGTGTATGTGTGTGTTAATCTCCCAGTCTGCCACTGACAAAGGAGTAGACCATGACCAAAACTGCCAGCGACCACAGACCCTCCAGCGTGTTTGAATTTTTAAAGGATACAGTGAGATATTCTATTGTGTGGTTGTTGTCTGTGTCTCATCTTACAACATCTCTGCTCTGACATCTTAACCCACACGTGACCAAATCTGTGTTCATCAAGTTTTAGTTTTCTACTTTAAAAATGGCTGAATAAATCCAGCCGCATGTGTTTTGTCTGCGGTGGACTCATCCTTCACAACCTACACAAATCTTACATTGTTTGAAACCTCTTGAGGCTCCTGTTTACTGCTGCAACAATTACTTGATTATTGGCTAAATGCTAAATTCATCGCCACCAATTTGATAAAATCTATTTAACAGTTAAACAGTTATTTCTAATGGAAAAAGGTTAAAATGATCTGATTTCTGCTTCTTAAATGTGAATAATTTCAGGTTTCTTTGTTCCCTTAATGACAGTAAAGTGAATATCTTTGGTTTGTTAAATAAACAAGAGATTTATATGGAGCAAACTATTATTACCATGATATAGAAACAGCTGCATGTTACAAAGACTGTATGTTAAATGGTGAATGACTATTTTTATGATTTATTCTCCTTCCAGCAGGTAAGAGAGGATAAGCACCTAAGTTGTTTTTTTTAATGAACAATGTTTTCTTTTTTTTTTTGCCTGCGTAGACCAGCATTCTAAAACTCACCTCTAATCTTTAATCAGGCATAAACATCCATTTAGTTCATTAGCTAATTAAAACTGCATTAATAGTTGCATCCTCTCAGAGGGAGAGATCAGTGTCCGCCCTCAAACATCCTCCAACTGCTTTCACAGCAGTTCTCCGTCTCTCAGTGGGTGTCACCCATGACATTTTAACTGGCTCTTTATTGGTTCTTTTGGTTCAGCTGAGTGTGTGGTGGAAACACAGTGATGCATATGAGGAGGATTAATATGGATGTTACTAAAGCATCAAATCAAACTATTCCATCTTAGTGAGATTTGGTTTATGCTGAGTAAAAAGCAAAATCTGTACCTTGTGCATATATACTGCTATATTAGAAAATGCATCAGAGCTATGCTAATTTTAATCTCAACAAAGCCCACGGGGTCAATAAAACCCTGCAGACATGTTCCTGAACACATGCATCTGCTGCTGGTGGCTCTCTCTACCTTGCTGTTGATGCAGAAGCTTCTTGGGGACACAAAGATTAATGTCCCTGCCACAGGATTGTGCCCCACATCCCCCACACCCTCCTCATTCTCTTGTCCTCCACACACTCCCATGTACTTGCATTCATGAATGTCTTTGAGAGTTTTCACATTGGAGGCAGAGGGAGAGACAAAAGGAGGGAATAACAGATAGGAAGCTCTGGTTCTCCGGCTGGAGTGTGATGTATGATGGGATCAGGGTGGAGGAGGATCCTGTCTGCTTTGTCACATGACTCACCGTCTCCCTGCTCGCTCATTTCAGGGCTCCTTCCCAGGGAACCTCCAGCTGGTTCTGGTTCTGAGGCCCACCGCCCTCCTGCAGCGCACGCTGTCCGACATCCTCTTCAAGTTCAACAAGGATGAGTTCAAGATGAAGGTTCCGGTGTGTAGTCACTCACGAGGAGGACAGAGGATGTTGCACCTTGTTAAGCCCTATGAGGCAAATTGTGATTTGTGAATATGAGCTTTATAAATAACATATGATGATTGAAAATAATAACATTTTGCAGAAATATTACACAAAACAATTTGGTCTTTTTCTGTCAATCAATGACTGGATATACAGTATTTATAATCAAATGACATGTACCTCATATTGTGTTTCTGTCTCAGGTGATCATGCTGAGCTCAGTAACTGAGCTGCACTCCTACATCGACCGCTCCCAGCTGACCCAGGAACTCGGGGGAATCCAGGAGTACTGCCATGAGAAGTGGATCTCCCACCGCACTGTATGTACACTGTAGAGTTTACAGCAGCTCACACTGAACGAGTACCATGGGCTAAATACACAAAGATCTTACAAGAAGCTTAGCAAACTAAATAAATATATACAGTGAAATAAGTGCACGTGAAAAATAAGAATAAATTAAACAGGACGATAAGTCTGATTTGAGAAGCTCACATCAAGACAGGGTGACAAAAGTTAAATTCACAAAATATGTATCTTTACTAGGATGAAACTCTCTATGAAAGCAGTTAAGGTAAAGTACTATAGCGTCTCACGATACCACCATCACACTGCGTCTGCTGTGTCTTGTTCACATCAGGCTATTGAAGGCTTTGCTCTGATGGTAAAGAAAACAGCACAGACCCTGCAGTCATTTGGGACGGAGCTGGCAGAAACTGAACTCCCAAATGAGATCCAGGCCACAACCGTCCTGCTCAGCACTCACACCAACAAGAAAGACAAAATGAAGGTAACACTATTGATACACACACTGAACTGTATTTCTCTGTGTATTTATACACACAGTAAATGTCTTTGGATTATGCATATGTTGCCCTCCGTCTGTGTGTGTGTGTGTAGGAGGATCTGCTGGTGGCTCTGGGTCAGGGCAAAAGGCTGTTGGAGAGCATCAATGAACCTGTAGTACGAGACCCCGACCACAACATGAACCAGGATGAGCTGGAGAATTTAGCCACTGTGCAAAGGTTAGAAAACTGACAGAGCTGCAGGATGGCTGCTAGTAACCAGACAGAAACAATATAATGCTGTAGAGGAAGAAATAAATCAAACATTTCCCAATAGAAAATACAGAAACCAGACAGCAGCTTTCTCGTTTGTCTGCCGCAGTTTAATAACTCTTAAACTCTCAACAGACCAAAATGGCGTCATCACATCTGTTGTAGCACCTCACCCCAATGCTATTTATTATCATTACTAAAGACTAAGAAGGTATTAAGTTATTTTGTAATGATCATTTAAACTATTCAAGTAAAAGTACCATCTCCTACACAACAGTTCACTTTTAATGAAGGAAACAGTTTTTTAAGATGTCACTTTCAGTTGTTTTTTAGACATTTTAGTTAGAAGTCACATAATGAAAAGTTTAAAACACTGGGTATGTTTGTTATACAGACCCTCAGATGTGAGTAAAGAGACTTGTTCTGTATATTGCTGGCAGGTGATGTGTCATCGTTGTCTCCTCTCATCATAGAGTCACACCAATAGTTTCAGTTGCTTTGTGGTCACTCAGTATTTTGAGCAATGCTACAGGCAGCAACTCTCTTGTCAACAGGCATTAGTTGTACATACTACACACATGCAAAGCCCCTCAGACAAAAACATCCAAGTACCTCAGTCAGCATCCTCACTGCATTTAGTTCTCTATCCATTCTCCTCTCGTCCCACTGTGTTTTTCTACCATCCATCTTCATCTCTGTCTCTTTCTCCGCTCCTCTGTCAGACTGCTGTCTCAGCTGGACGAGACAGAAAGGGCTTTCGATGAGTTCTGGGTGCGACATCAGACCAAATTGGAGCAGTGTCTCAAACTGCGCCATTTTGAGCACAACTACAGAGAGGTGAGCAGGAGAATCCTCTGTTCTCGACTTCAGTCAGCACGATCTCTTTTCTGAACCTGGACACTGACTCTGGTGTTTCTGCTGCAGGTGAGGGCGCTGCTGGATCAGGTGTCTGAGAAACTTGTATCCTTCTCTGAGGTCGGAATCAGCCCAGCTCACGATGAGCACAGCTTGTGTGAGCTCACCAGTTATGAGGAGAGAGTCTGTGTAAGTAAAATTCAACCTGCATTAAAGGTGCAATATGTGGGAGAAAATAAAGTAATTGCTATGCTAGCCCAGGCTTAGCAGTTAATTTAAAGTAAAAAATATTTAAATTGTGATTTTGATCAGGATCTGAAAAGAAAATGTTCTTTTTGTGAATTTAAAAAATGTCATAACCACTAAGTTACGATTGTTTTCACTGCTGCTTTACTTATATACATATATATAACACCGTCTTTTAATTTTGAAAAATTTAAATAAAGTTTCAGTTTTGTAGGAAAAAAACATCAAAAATTAAATCCTCGATGTGGGTTATAACCATTTCAACTCACCGCTCCACAGGAGGTGCTGGACCGAGCCTCAGCTTTGTGTCGTGAGGGCGATGAACTCATCCAGAACTCACATTATGCTGAAGACTCCATTCAGCCCAAATGCAGCGATCTCAGAGGAATCAGTGAGAGTGTGAGCGGGAGCCTGAGTGCCAAAAAGGATCATCTCCTCAAAGCCATGGAGCTGCATCACTGTTTGCAGAGGGTGAGAAACAACACACACACAGAGACATTGTTTGTGTTGTTTCCTTTTAGTTAGTTTTTTTCTGATTCCTCCTCCTCTGTCCTCTTCAGGCCTGTAAATGGGTTGATGATGGTATTTACCTGCTGGCGTCTCAGCCGGTCGACAAGTGTCAGTCACATGAGGGGGCTGAGTTAGCGCTGCAGGAGCTGGAGCGTTATCTGGATAACGCAGGCCAGAACCAGCTGACAGACCTCGATACCATCTGGAAAGAATATGATGCTGTGCTCAACCAGCAGTTCAAGGTAAAAGAACCAAAGAATACACATTTCTCTGTCACTGTATAACAACCTGATTCAATTATTATGAATAGATACGACCATTGTTATTGATCACAGCTACAATCAGTTTGGTATCAGGTGTCAAATGACTGTGGCTCTGCTTTATTGATGCTAATTCAATTGTTGTTTTAAATGATCTGCTTAAAGACAAATGACCTAATCAGTCATAAAAGATTGACGTAGAGCGTTGATGACTTCCTGTGTGTCAGGACCAAGTGGAGAGGATTTCCCAGAAGCAGGCGTCCATGCAAGAGATGTTTGACAAGAGGAGGGTGAGCCTGAAGAAGCTTGCAGCCAAACAAACCAGACCGGTGCAGCCGGTAGCTCCCAGACCTGAGGCCTTCATCAAATCTCCTCTCAGCTCACCTGGTCAGTCTCCACACAGCCACACATGGAACCCTGATTTTACACTGTGAATCTTTTTTGTTCATTGTTCTTTGCCTAACCCGGTATTATCAGGTTCTATTTTCCACAGCCATGTAAAAAGATGGAAAATGTATTAATTTCACTTATGGCTCATGATCTAAAAAATACTGTATAAATTTTAATTTCAGACAAACAGACAACCCAGACATTTCAGCTCAACTTCAACTCACAAAGGTTTTTAAAGAAAACTAAAAACATTCATAAACGTTTGTTGCAGTCTGTCTTGATTTTCAGTATCTGAGAGATAAACTGAATAGTGACGTTTTTAATCAAATATAAAATAATAATAATTGCACAAATTCAAAAAGGAAATTCTCTAACAAGAAAATAAGGTTTTATTCTGTTGGTTATTTTATCAGGAAATTCTTTGCTAATAAGGTTGAAAACTGCTGTGTTAGTCTGTATTTAATGTCTGCTACTGGTAGATACAAGATGAAAAAAGGATGTGATTTGACTTTTCTATCAGCAAAACAAAGCCACAGTGAAACAGAAGCTTTTGTAAATCTTGCACACAACAGTATTTTAGTACGATTTTAAATTTAATATTGACTTTAAAACCAAGAATGTAAAATAAAATGTTTTAAAATTAAATTTTACTAAATCTCAAGATCAAATTATTTGTCTGACAGTGCCAGCAATAAAGGATAAATGAATGTTGGTTGTATCTAATAAAAAAAAGTACTTTGCTTGTATCTTCTCACTCAAATTTATACATTAAATTTAACTACAAAAAATGTCCCATCCAAAAACTTGAAATACCTCCTGACAAGTCTGTCTCATAAAATGTCTGTTTCCTCATCTTTCAGCTCACAGAGCACAGCAGGAGAAAAACTCCTCAGAGACAGACACTGGGAACAACTGTGAGAAAGTGAGTGTTGAGTTTTCCGTTGTTGTGTCTGCTCTACATGCTCTGAAAGTTTGTATTGTCTGTGTCTTTTCATGGTGAATTCTACATTGTTGTCGATTCTCAGGAAAACGGCCAACTGCAGAACGGAGACAGTAACAGCCGACATGCCTCGCTGTCCGAGGAGGAGGAGAACCTGGCTGTTCTCAGGAGGTGAGGGGTTCGTCTGTAATCAAATTACACAGCAGATGGACTGTGTGGAAACCGGTCTCATTATCTACAGAGCTGTACATCCACCTTTCTGTCCATCTCACCCTCTGTTCTCCTTCTGTCTTTAGACATGTTATGAACGAGCTGCTGGAAACTGAGAGAGCCTACGTGGAGGAGCTGCTCTGTGTGTTGCAGGTGAGGATTCACAATCTGACTTTTACCTGTGCCTAAAGTTTCATGTTTAATTAATTTGTGTGTGTATTACAGGGATATGCCTCAGAGATGGATAATCCAGCCATGTGTGTCCTCATGCCTGCTCCGCTGCAGAACAAAAAGGAGGTTCTGTTTGGCAACATGCCTGAAATTTACCACTTCCACAAGAGGTGAATGAGCGCCATCTAGCTGTCATCAAGGATACCTGCACTGTGACTTGACATTTTGTCGGCCATCACAGCTAATCAGCATTTTAATCGCTCATCTTCTTTATTCTTTTGTCTTACTCTTTCTCTTTCTCTTCTCCTTCATGACTTTGTTGTTCCCAGGACTTTTCTGCGGGAGCTGGAGCAGTACACCGACTGCCCTGAGCTGGTCGGAAGGTGTTTTCTAGAGAGGGTGAGTGAATTATCGTATCCTCAGTAGATCTCCAGATGTGAAACCAGCTGCTGGTGAGGTCTCTCGAACAGAAATCGTTTGCTCCCTCTCCCTCAGATGACAGATCTGCAGATCTATGAGAAGTACTGTCACAACAAGCCTCGCTCTGAAAGCCTCTGGAGGCAATGCTCTGACTGCGCCTTCTTCCAGGTGAACTGACCGTTAAACATTGTGGTTAAAACCTAATTGTAATTTGTGTGTTTTATGTAACATAGTCCTGTTCTGTTTTACTGCATCAGGAGTGTCAGAAAAAGCTGGAGCATAAACTGGGTTTAGATTCTTATTTGCTGAAGCCGGTTCAGAGAATCACCAAATATCAGCTGCTACTGAAGGTAAAACACTGTCCTGGGGCTTCAACTGTTTTCAGAGGAACTTCACTTTTTCAGTCCTTGTTCTGAGCTGCTTGTTCATGTCCTGCTAACTACAGGAAATGCTGAAGTACAGTAAGGGCTGTGAAGGGGCAGATGACCTGCAGGTGGCCCTGACCTCCATCTTGGGCATCCTAAAGGCCGTCAATGACTCCATGCACCTCATCGCCATCACCGGATATGAGGTAAGACATTGAATAGGATACATGGGAATCTATCACAGAGCAGATTGGTCATACAGGTCACTGATGTAAAAAAAAAAGAAAAATAGACATGTGTGACGTCCTGTGATTCTCAGAAGCTAATTGAATTTCTGGCATGGTTTTCATCGAAAGAAAGAATTAGTTTGTGGTCAGTCAGCTCCGTCTAACAGCATCTTTCCCTTTCTCAGGGTAATCTGAGTGACCTGGGGAAGCTGCTGATGCAGGGGTCGTTCAGTGTGTGGACGGAGCACAAAAAAGGTCACGCCAAGGTCAAGGATCTGGCCCGTTTCAAGCCCATGCAGCGACACCTCTTCCTCCATGAGAAGACCCTGCTCTTCTGCAAGAGGAGGGAGGAAAATGGAGAGGGCTACGAGAAAGCTCCGTCGTACAGCTTCAAACAGTCTCTGAATGTGAGCAGCTCTGCAGCAGCACTGTTGACAGTTTTGTTGGTTTTCTGTCCTGTACTCATCGATGTTTTTTCTTTTTTAACAGATGAGCGCTGTGGGCATCACTGAGAATGCAAAGGGAGACAACAAGAAGTTTGAAATCTGGTGCAACTCAAGGGAAGAGGTTTATATTGTTCAGGTATGTTAACACAAAGAAATGAATAGTCTGGAGAAAATCTACACTTTTCAAAATTTCTAAATAATGTTATAAAAAGAGACGAAAAGAAAGTCAAGAATGAACTGTATAACAACCTGATTATTAGTAATTGCTGCCTTTTATGGAATTGTTGACAGTAAGATAAATGCAAACAAAACCAGGGCTTATCTTTCAAGTACATTTTATTTGAAGGATTGGAACAATATTGTATTTGGCTGTTGATCTCAGAGCATTTCCAATATTTCATTGTCCTTTTTCAGGCCCCAACAACTGAAGTAAAAACCACTTGGGTGAAAGAGATCAGGAAGGTTCTGACGACACAGCTGGAAGCGTGCAGAGGTACAGAAACAAGATTAAATTACACCAAAGTTGTTTTTCATATTTAGTCTATATAAATCTGAACCAGAAACTGGAGCTTTATTATCAAGTTGTACTGATTATGAAAGTAAAATCCTTGTGTTCCTCCCTCTGTGTGAGAAGCCAGCCAGCAGAGGGCGCCAGACCAGGTGGTCCAGTTCACTCCTGCATCCAGTGGAAGTCTCAGGTGAGTCAGGAATACTCCGCCTCCCTTATTCTCTTCGGTTTGGATGATGAATCTTTCCAGTGACTGGTGTCTTACGCTCCACTTTTTCTTTTCACCCACAGTCCATTCAAGAGTCAGAGGAGCTTTAAGAAGGGAGAGGAGAAGAAAGCTGAGCCCTGCAGCCCTGACGTCAACTCCTCCTCCTCACCAAAGCCCACAGGAAAAGGTAAGAAGTGTTAAAAAGAACGATGCAAGCTTTATTTCTCCTCTGCCTTTCAACAAGTCTGAGTAAAGAATTTGTTGTGCAGCTACACTTATTATTGCTCCTCTTGGCTTCCCCTCTTGTAACGATTAACACTTGTCTTCTGTCATCTCCCGCAAAACATATAACTCTCCTCTGTATTGATTTCCTGCATTTTCACTTCCTTCTTTGTGTCTGTCCTGTCTTCTTGTCTTTTTCCCTCTGGGTCAGACGAGGCTGCGACAAGCCCGACCTCAGACAGAGCTGCTGCGGCTAAAAAGCGTTTTACTTTACAAGGTTTCAGTAACCTCAAGGCTCAGAAAGGTAACTTCAGGCCATCATCAACTTCACATCCGACACATCACATCTTCTTCTGCACCTCGCATCACATTGAACTGGTGTGTCTCTGTATTTGAACGAGTTGCGTCGTTTCCTCATCTCATCTCCTCTGCGGAGTTTACACACACACAAAGGCCCCGGGGCCCCCCCACCCCTCATACACTGACACAGGGACAGGGAAGCAGAGAGGAGAGGTGGTGAACGAGGTGGTAAAAGTCCAACAGTAGCAACAAAAAGTGTGAATACGGGGTTCTGAGGTGGACCTCTGATACAAAATGATTCAAATGTGTAAAGTTAGTCTGGAGCCCTGAGTCTGTATTGGTTTTCCCTCTCTTCTGTAACCTCACTGTGTGTCTGTCTTTTTAGACAGGGCTGAAAATGTACTGTTTCCCCTTCCGACTATTTTTTATTCCTCATCCAAAAGTAAAATGTTCTTGTACATTATTGCTCAACGTTTCTTTCGTGTCTCATCATCGGCCCTTGTCTCTCGTTTTCCCTGCTTCACGTCAGGATCCCCGACGAGCCCCGATCACAAGACGAAACGCCAGAGTGACCCGACGCCATTCGGCTTCAAAGGTTAGTCAGTCGCTCCAGCAACACCTGCGTTCCTCCCTGTCTGCTTGGCTGTTGATTCTCGATACCTGAGCACAGATGAGCTCTCTCTAGCACTGATGAGTCTGTAACTGCTGCTCGCCCAGTGACTGGCTGTGTTGCTTCGTGTCCCTCAGATGCAGGTCCTCCCCCCCTCCACCTGAGCAGGGCCAGGTGGTTTAGCACCTCTTGTCTCTTACAGACAAAGTGGAGAGGTATGACTCCAGCTGTCTCCCCCTGGCTGCTTGTAGGGTCAATTGTTTCACTTCTTTAATGGATTTATAGGCCAGACTGTCTTTTCTCTTTGCTCATCTGACTGCTCCATGTTTCTGTCAGGCAACGGTTGTGGAGAAATGTTCGCCTGCAACTTTATTTCTTTGTTTGGAGTTTAAAAGTAGAATTGCATGTCCCTCTCCCCAGTGGTAGATTTCTTTGGGTTCTGTTTGTGTGATGGTGATATTCATGGGATTAGCTCTTCTACCTTCTCTGTTCAAAAGAGCTTCAGGAGGTTCTTCCCCCAGATTTCTCTCTGCAGGTCTCTCACATGTCTGACAGCAGTCAAAGCTGTCTGCTGTAAACATAACGCTGTCGTTTCCGTCCTCTCCTCAGGCTGGAACAAAGCTTCCCTGTCGTTGGATGCCTCAGAGGAGAATGATGGATATTCCAGCGCAGAGGATCCTATTAACTCTGACCCAGAGGACGACAACGGCAAGAAGCTGGTGAGTCACTGCGAGATAAGAGCGTCAGTCTGTCTGTGTGTTAATCAAACCGCACAGACAGAAGAATGAATATACAGTCAAATGTCAGGATTTAGCTCATACTTGGGGACAAAAAACTGATCCCAACAATGTGAACTATTTAGTGTTCGGCTTTTTTATTAACTTAAGGGAAATTTGGGGGTTAAGCATGTAGTGGATGTAAGTGCCCATGGAATAAATATATATCAATGCAATTTCCTAAAAGACGAAAGCAACTTTGTATTTCTGTGTGTATCTTGTTTGGCTCAGGTGCAATTTTCTGTCCAAACCCAATCGAGTCCAAGAGAAATATAACCCAACATGCATTCTGTGTTTTTGTGTCCAAACCTGACCCAGGCCCGATGTTTTCCTTAATTACCGGCACGTTCAGCATGATAGATAGCCCAGCCAATGTGACCAAACCTGACACGAATCCAAATATCATTACAAAACTTTTGCCCAAGCCCGAACAAACAAAACGCAGATTTTGTCTTAAAAGACGTTAATAACTGTGGAATCATTTCCAGCTGCAGCTGTTCCATCCATGGTCACACGATGAAACATTTTACATTCTACAGCTTCTATTGTATGTTTACTTACAGGTCTGTGGATTACGACATGTGGAAATTGCTTTGTCAACATTTGTCAATTAAACTGGATGAAAATGAAGCAGATCACATCCAATGTGTTTTGTATTAGATTCTTCATTACTCATTTTCCAGTTTAATAACAGCTGCAACTTTATTTTGACCACTTGGGGGCAGCAGAAACAAATTGGCTCTTAAATAAACTTTATTGTTGTTATTAATAATTTATTTGTTAAGCTTTAAAAGTGACTCATGATTTGAGTAAGTGTTTAACCAATGCTCATCTTATGTCTAATGTGTTACCATAACTCTTGACCTTTTTCTAATTTGAGTCTGTATCCGTGTCTGCTTCTCATCTTGACTATGAGCAGAGTGCTGGGAAATACACGGTGATGGTCGACTACGAGAAGGGCGGCGCTCAAGAGCTCCCAGTGAAGAGTGGAGACATGGTGCAGCTGGTCAAAGAGGGAGATGACGGACAGTGGTGAGGACACAGCCCCTCCACCGCCAATCAGAGATAAAAACAAGAATGACACTCAGTAGAGCACATTCCTCCGCCAAGACCCAACAGTCCCCTTAAATTCAATCAGGCTGCACCAAATTTCACACACTCATAGATATCATTTCCCCTAATGTGCCTGATTTTTTAAATCAAGATCTATGAATGATTCCCTGAAAATTGGTGAAAATGTAAAAACACCATCTTGCAATGTTTAGGGAAGTTATCAAAATCCCTGGATCTGCCCCCGTGATCTGGATCCACACCCACATTTAATGTGTTCTTTCCTGACGCATACTCACCAAATTTCATGGTAATCCATCAAGTAGTTTTTGCGTAATCCTGCTAAAGAACAAACATAAAACCAGCTAACAAACAGACAGGGCTAAAAGCACAACCTCTTTGGTGGAGTCCATTAGTAGCACTTATATTATAATACGTGTGTGTGTTTGCAGGTTTGTTCGTAATCTGAGCACGTCGAAGGAGGGCTGGATCGCTGCTGCTAATCTTATCACCCTCATCACAAAGTCCAAGTCCTGTCAGTCTCTCACCAGCTCGGGTAAATAAATGCGTGTGCGCATTAACATGTAGTCGCTTTGCAAGTGTGCGACGTGTAAACATTACTCTTGTGTTTTGAACAGAAGGCAGCGGCTCTGGAAACCTCAGCACGTCGTCCAGCTGCAGCGAGACCTACACAGGCCTGTCCGACATCAAACCCTGAACTCCTCTGCACTTCCTCCGTCGCTGAACTGCATCACGTGTCTGTGCTGTAACGCCAACATCAGTACTCATAAGCGTTTACTAAGGTTTCCGCAGAAACTGTATCTTTATCACCACAGATCTGACTGTGGTGTCATCATACAGTGAAGATACAGAAATATGTCACATACAGTAAAGTCATAGTGTCGTATTCCTTCTGTATACACACACACACCTGTTCATTTTCTTTTCAATGCAAGGTCCGTGTGGGTGTAATGTTATAGATGTATGAATGGGCCAGCAGGACTGATCTCAGTTAATGCATCTATTAGTGTCTCGTTAAAGATGAGTGATTAGACGTGGATGACTGTTGTTTACATTCCCACTGTTACAGCTTGTTTAGTCTAATCACCTCTATGTCCTGCTTATTTTTCCCTTTACGTTATTTATTTGTAAGAAACAAAAATTCCCACATACGATTAGTACATTTTTGATTTACTCAAATCTCTGTATCTTTCTCACATCTTTCTCTTTGACGTCGGTCCGAAACATGCTCCGCCACCAGCCGCCTGAGCTTTTGAGTCCGAGCTCTGTTCTTTATTTTCTCTGTGGTTTCTCATGTTCGCTGCAGATTAAAGATGTTTCTCCGTGTGAATAATCAGAAATCACTGTATAGCGCTAACTTATTCCCAGTGGAGGGATCATGTTCTGGATGTAGATATTAATTCATGTGCGTCTGTCATGAGATGTTTGTTACTGATGAGATCATATATTGTACATGAAGTTCGGTGATGTCACTACTTTGTGACGTGTCCTAAAAAAGCTTTTATATATAAACAACTTGTGATAATTCAATCACTCTGTGTGTGTGTGTCTAATTTTGAGTGTTGACTCTGACTCTGTCTTCTCTCTTTGACTCGTTTGAAGCCAAACAATTTATATTTTTGTGGTTAAAGTACATTTTTTCTTGATCTTGTATTTGCACACAGACTCTGGACTCTGTCCATTAGGGTTGCCAGGTTTGCTAAATCCCATCATTTCGCCGTCTTTTTTTTTTTTTTTTTTGTTGCGTAATTCCCAGTTCAACAGCCAAATTTGCAAGTTGATAGCGAAAGAAACCGAGGCAACAATTTTGCAGACTTGTGTCTTATTTCATCATCTCTTCTATTTCGTCTCTGGTTCTTCGTTCTATGTGCAGTGTCCTTAACATGCTGCTGTCAGA